TAGGGTATAGGTTGGTTAAGTTAGGGTAGCGTAAGGGTGGTTAATATTCAGCTGAAATAAGTTGGGGTGTTTAATCTTCAGTAGATCACTGTTGTCTTCACCTGATCAAGTTGGTAGCCTATTCTCTGGTCCACCATGTACAGTACACAAGTGTGATAGGCGGTGGTGGTCATTGTGTGCCATCATGAGACACTCGCTGGTCACCTTCACCAGGCAGCGTCTTCGTCTGTAGGTCAGGGGAAGACATACAACTATTTTCGCAAACACAGGATAGTGAATATGAACTCTAGTGAGGCCACCGTCACTTAGTTCCTTACTCTTCATTATTATTTATTGATTTATTTTTTATTTATTTATTTATTTATTTTTTTTGCGTCTTCGGGTAAGGTTGGAGTAAATCCATATTATTACTGGATACTGGAACATTTGAGGAAGGTTCACACCTTCCCTAATGTTGCCTCATAACAAGTAAACACTTACTCTACACACCTTTACAACACTATATTATGTTATAAGAAAAGTAGATAAGGGTTCAAATCAATATAGAGAAACTTGTCAAGAATCTCAGTGCATCAGGCTTCTGGGGGTAAACAGGCAAAAGCAAGTGTGTGTGTGTGTGTGTGTGTGTGTGTGTGTGTGTGTGTGTGTGTGTGTGTGTGTGTGTGTGTGTGTGTATGGTGGTGACAGGCACTATAATAAGCCCTGGAGGGTGTTACTTCCGGACACCACACCACCTAATGCACGTGGTGTGTTTATCTGGCAGGAGACTCTCGCCTAAAACATTTGTTTACAACTTCACATTATATTTGCCTGTGTTGTGTTCCATTTTCATTATGACCTGTTAGTGTTGTTGTTAGTGAAGAAGAACAGTTGTCTGCCACCTGTCACGCCACCCTTCATCTCTTCTCTAGTTGTTCCCAGCAGCAAGGGATATATGTCCGTGTGTCTGTGCGGGAATTGTGAACTTATTAACAAAATAGAAAATGATTTTAACTAAATTAAGTGTGTGGATATATCACAACAAGCTGTCAAAGGAGCTCAGTAATCGATATTGTCTCCGTGGCCAGTTATGGCCCCGAGGAGTTGACTGTGGGGCGGCGGCCATCTTTACTGGCAGCCGTGTGTCAATATTGGTTTTCTAGTCCTACAAACTCTTTCTGTATATTTACTTGTCACCCTCTGTCTTCATGGTATATACTGTACACTACCTTCATTATCCACAAAAGTATAATTAAGACTAAGAACAGCAATATTTTATGATATTAACATTCAGATTCATAATACATTTTATTCAGGAATACAAAGATAAATTTAGGTTTATAGTAGAGCTGCGGTGATGCTCATGTAGCCACACAATAATAGTTGGTTTCTTGATCTCAATATAATGGAAATATTTCTAACAAGTATTGGTGGGTTGGGCAGCACTTGTCAGCCTCACCCTCATCTGTTTCGCCTGTTGTATGCAGCGTTTAGTCAGTGCAGTACTCCCCTTGGCCTGATCTTACCAGTGTATGTTATGTATACAGTACGTGTGGGGGATTGTTTTTAGGTTGGGAGAAGTGATCTTTAAGTTAAGATCTAAGACGGGGATGTTTGTCACAGTCACGGTGAGACAAAAAAGAATTTCTTAGTATTTGTAAGGGGCGCGGCGGCCAGTGGATATATAGCTTGCCTCATGTCCTTAGGGTCTCTGGTTCCATCCCGGGGCACTCCCAGTCCACTCAGCTGTAAATAACTATCTAACTTTATAGTTCGTGTACATAGAGCTGCTGACGCAACTAAAAAAAAATTAATTAGGGGTGTTTTGAGGATCCAGGGGAGAGAGAGTGTGTGTGTGTGTGTGTGTGTGTGTGTGTGTGTGTGTGTGTGTGTGTGTGTGTGTGTGTGTGTGTGTGTGTGTGTGTGTGTGTAACGAGAGCCTATTTCTGACCCTAATCTGCCCACACATCTCCTTGAGCGGCCAAGATATACTTACCCTGGCTGATGACTTAAAAAATAAGACTCATTTTGTGTACTTGTGTGGAGAAGTATCTTGATGGCTGCTGGAGGGAGGAGAGCGAGAGGAACACCATGGGCGGATTATGTAAGGGAACGCGTGAGGACAAAAAGTGTCACGTTAGGTAGCACGGGACGATTAATAGTGGATCGTGTACAGTGGCATCGTTTCGTATATAATGATAATGTTTAACCTGAATTGATCTGAAACATTTTGAAACGGCGTTGAAGTTAAGGAGTTCACTATTATGTGGGTCTGTGCATCAGTTGAGGAAATATGAAAGAGCTTTTGTGTAAGTTATATCTTCTTGTTTCTGTACTTTTTTCTTAGATGTATTTTACCCTATAACAATAATTCCCCGCCATTTCCTCCCTTGTTGGCGATGTCTTGTTTTCTTTGATCTATCCTATGAACGTATGGGGGGGGGGATATAAATGTTGGTGAGAAAGTTGTCTTGGTTAGTGCCGGACGAAAGGATAAATTAAACACATTTCACGGGACGAGAGGTGATTGCAAACTTTAAATCTTTTGTTGTCACTGAGTCGCGCCGCCACCTTCACGTTGTATTATACCGAATAACTTGGATACTAATGTTTTAAGCGATGTGTGTTAACTAATTTGTGGTAGTATAAAGTTGAGCCTAATCCTTACAATAAACATCTTCTATATTGGGACGTGTGTGTGTGTTTACTCGCAGCGGGGTCCAGGTGTTCCCTGCCAGTGAAATATTTCTCCGGAGTGCTTCACTTATACACCAGTTTGTTATATTTACCACAGCGGTAAAAAAAAGGACTTCCGTCTCTTCTCAGTACAGCGACAAACTGCTCCTCACCACGACTTTCTCGCCTCTCGAGCACGACTTTTCCCTCTTAAAGTACGATGAACTAATTCCTCGCGTGGATGACGTCACCTGTTTAGTGAGTTCGAGAACGTCACCCCATGAATGTGAGAGAAATCAAAACTTGCATTTTTATGACAGTGGATGATGAAAATATAAGTTCTATTATTATTAGTAGTAGCATTGTCGTTGTTGTTATTTGTATTATTATTGCAATTTTCTTTTATAATTATTGTCATGTATTAGTATTAACACTCAACATGTAATTATCACAACGACCATAATTTGTGTAATTCTTTTAAACATAGTCACCACCAGCATGAGCAGGAAGAGCTAGGTGTAGTGTAGGTGTTGGTGAGAGAGTGTAGCAGGTGGAGTGTAGTGATGGTGACACACACACGCACACACACACACACACACACACACACACACACACACACATACACACACACATGTGTGTGGAAGATTTTAGTAAGATAGTTCAAAGGATTTAAGAAGATGTAGTGTTAACACAGACAAGAATATTGTTTTTGCTTCATAAATATACTGAGTGTTTCATTTACAGGTATACGAACCCGTGAAATGTGGAGAGAGAGAGAGAGAGAGAGCATTACCACCGAATGTACAGTAATGAACACACACATTATCTTGGCACAGATGATCATCACCACCCTCCTCTTCCCTCCCCCCCCCCTGCCGTCTGAAACAATTACTTCAGGGTGAAAATTCCCCAGTGACGGGAAGACCCAGAGCCGAGGAGGATTATTTTAGGGTGAAAAGTGGGAGAGTTACACCAGGGTTAAGGAAATGCTTCTTCAGTCCATCACGACACCCTGCCAGAGATCCCATCTTGGCCCAGTAACTCGGCGGCTGTGAAGTAACTGCTCAAGGTGGACACAGTAACTTAATAAGGAAATACTGTTTTAAGGATGACATAATCGATAGAATTGAGACTTCATTTAGGAATGTAACTTAAGAGTACGGGTTAGGGATTGTGGATTATCTGAAGAAGATTAGTCTCTCCAGCCTAATTTACCCTGAATATTAACCTAACCTAACCCCCTAAGGTAAGGTTAAGAATTTTTTATCATGGGGGTGAATTAAGCCGGTAGGAGTGAGTGGGGGAATGGGGTGGGGGCTAATCCTCAGGTGATCTGCTGGTCACTGCCCCACACACACACACACACACACACACACACACACACATTTTAGGGGTTAGATTGATGATGCTTGTGTGGATGATGTGGTTGTTGGCAGCCGGAGCAGATGTGGTGGTGGTTGTAGGAGAGCGTTCCACTTCCTCATCCTGACAACCCACTTCATCCACGCTGTTTGTTTACCTTGTGTTACCTTGTGTTATATTGCGTTACCTTTTGTTACCTTGTGTTGCCATGTGTTATATTGTGTTACCTTGTGTTACTGTGTGTTACCTTGTGTTGCCATGTGTTATATTGTGTTACCTTGTGTTACTGTGTGTTTCCTTGTGTTACTGTGTGTTTCCTTGTGTTACCATGTGTTATATTGTGCTATCTTGTGTTACCTTGTATTATCTTGTGTTACCTTGTGTTATCGTGTGTCCCTGTATCAGGAATGTAAGGGGGAGTGCTCCTTTTGGTTTCTTGAGACGTGCTAGTTCTGGTCCTGCCATACATGATGTCAATATGTATAAACCCTCACCCAAGGACTATGTAACTGAGACTGAGCGTTGATTACCTTCCTAACCAACATTGGGAATCTTATGAAACGCTAGTCACTTGTTTTCCTACTTATTGGCAACATTCAGATCAATTTGGGAATATATTGAGTGAAATACAAAGAAGTTGGAGCTGTGAAAGTGAATTGTATGGACCCCACAGATACGCGCACTTTTTTTTTTACAGTGTGACAATGTTGGTGTGACTATATCTAGAGTTCTGACAGACTCTTGCATGTCCACTTACATTTTTCCGAACCTTTAATATGTCTGTTTTCATAATCTAAAGATAAATTTAGGTCCCGTATTTGTACACAAACACGCCATCAGCTGCTGTACTAGTGTGTTTATGTCAAGACTAAATATTTATTTGTATGTCACCACTAAATAGTTGTTTTTATTTGCATGTTAAGACTACTGTATATGTTGTGTATTTACGGCAAGACTACATAGTTACTGTTTTGTTCCAACAGAACCTGGTGCCGCTACCAACGGTACCGTCAACGGGTCGAGGCCCTCTGTTGACTCCCTCCTGGATGAACTGAACAGTGTGGAAACCAACGAGTGAGTAGTGCGGGTTATATACTGTACTGTACTGTGTGGTAGAGTGTGTTTATGTAGTACAGCGATGTGTGTTGTAGTACCCAGCCGTAGTATGAGTGTTAGTGGAGGGAGACTCACACCACAATATATGAACGTGTAGTAGAACAACTATGTTAGGGTATTATGTAGTACGCAGGTGTAGTGTAATGTAGTACGCAGGTGTAGTGTTATGTAGTACGCAGGTGTAGTGTAATGTAGTACGCAGGTGTAGTGTTATGTAGTACGCAGGTGTAGTGTTATGTAGTACGTGGGTGTAGTGTTATGTAGTACGCAGGTGTAGTGTTATGTAGTACGCAGGTGTAGTGTTATGTAGTACGCAGGTGTAGTGTTATGTAGTACGTGGGTGTAGTGTTATGTAGTACGCAGGTGTGTTTATGTACGCAGGTGTAGTGTTATGTAGTACGCGGGTGTAGTGTTATGTAGTACGCGGGTGTAGTGTTATGTAGTACGTGGGTGTAGTGTTATGTAGTACGTGGGTGTAGTGTTATGTAGTACGTGGGTGTAATGTTATGTAGTACGTGGGTGTAGTGTTATGTAGTACGTGGGTGTAGTGTTATGTAGTACGTGGGTGTAGTGTTATGTAGTACGCAGGTGTAGTGTTATGTAGTACGCAGGTGTAGTGTTATGTAGTACGTGGGTGTAGTGTTATGTAGTACGCGGGTGTAGTGTTATGTAGTACGCAGGTGTAGTGTTATGTAGTACGCAGGTGTAGTGTTATGTAGTATGCAGGTGTAGTAGTTGGGTGTAGTGTTATGTAGTACGCAGGTGTAGTGTTATGTAGTACGCAGGTGTAGTGTTATGTAGTACGCAGGTGTAGTGTTATGTAGTACGCAGGTGTAGTGTTATGTAGTACGTGGGTGTAGTGTTATGTAGTACGCAGGTGTAGTGTTATGTAGTACGCAGGTGTAGTGTTATGTAGTACGTGGGTGTAGTGTTATGTAGTACGTGGGTGTAGTGTTATGTAGTACGCAGGTAGTGTAGTGCGCAGGTGTAGTGTTATGTACGCAGGTGTAGTGTTATGGCACGCGGGTGTAGTGTTATGTAGTAGCAGGTGTAGTATGTAGTACGTGGGTGTTATGTGGTAAACGTGTAGTGTTATGTAGTACGCGGGTGTAGTGTTATGTAGTACGCGGGTGTAGTGTTATGTAGTACGTGGGTGTAGTGTTATGTAGTACGTGGGTGTAGTGTTATGTAGTACGTGGGTGTAGTATTATGTAGTACGTGGGTGTAGTATTATGTAGTACGTGGGTGTAGTGTTATATAGTACGCGGGTGTAGTGTTATGTAGTACGCGGATGTAGTGTTATGTAGTACGTGGGTGTAGTGTTATGTAGTAAACGGGTGTAATAAGAGTGTAAGGTGTGTGTGCAGGGTATGACTCGTGTAGAGATAACTCCAACAATAACACGAAATGAGTGGTATTTTGCTCTATGATCACACGCAAAGTTATTACCGTATTTGGATCTCCTGAATATTACACACCCACCGCTGCCTGACGAGGTTAGGTTAGGTTGGCGTTAGGGTTGGTTATGTTAGGTTAGGTTAGGTTGGCGTTAGGGTTGGTTAGGTTAGGTTAGGTTAGGTTGGCGTTAGGGTTGGTTATGTTAGGTTAGGTTAGGTTGGCGTTAGGGTTGGTTATGTTAGGTTAGGTTAGGTTGGCGTTAGGGTTGGTTAGGTTAGGTTAGGTTGGCGTTAGGGTTGGTTATGTTAGGTTAAGTTAGGTTGGCGTTAGGGTTGGTTAGGTTAGGTTAGGTTGGCGTTAGGGTTGGTTATTCTTCAGGTGATATCAAATTGGGTGTCTAAGCTTAAGGTGATCAACGCACTTAAAGATTGTAGAGGAAGAATTAAATAATTAAGTAAAAAAATATTTGTCCATACAGATTTAAGTAGCGACCTTACTGTGTTGTTTGTGAACAGGGGAGAGGTAGGGTGTTAACAAGACGCTAACACACTAATCTTAATGTAATCGATCATGTTCTTAATGTAATTGTAATCATGGCTATATTGTTCGAGTTTTGTTATTGTAATCCTAAGTTTGGTTGCTGTTCCTAGAATGGAATGTATCTTAGGTGGGTAGTGTTAGGTGGGCAGTGTCGTCGTAACCTAACTTTGTAGAGAAGCAGGAACACACACACACTCTCTCTCTGGCACACACACGTACTTTAGTGGGGGGTGGGGGGGGGATGGTGAGCGGCGTCTATCTGTCAGGCAGTGAATGGTCCGCCGCCTCCTCCACCTATCTCGGCTGTCACTGATGCCACGCCACTTAGAAGCCACACAATTCATAATACCAGGATCCAGAACTTTCAGCTGCTGGTGTGGGGGCGGTGGGGGTCTCCTTCAGGTCCACTTCTACAAGGTTTTCGAGAAGTAGAAGATTTAGAATGATGAATTAATTAGTTCAGGGGATACGAACGACGAATTATTGTGAATATATTATTGGTGTCAGTCATGGTTAGCATATACAGTATAGCGGCGGTTGACGTGAAGATTAGACACCCGAGTTTATTTCACCTGTAGATTAACCACCTTAACGTTACCTGGTGGGGGGTGTTAGGTGAGGTTAGGTTAGGTGAAGGTTATATTTGGTTAGGGTAGGATATGTAAAATTAGGCTAACTCATATTTGGTTAGGTTAGTTTTAGGGTTGTTGATATTCGTGTGAAATAACCAGGTGTATGTAATGTTCAGGTGATCAGAAGACTCGGTCGTGGTTGGAATTCACTACTAGGGGTGTGGCTGTAACAGTGTAGTCAATGTGTGTGTTGCTGTAGCCGTTCACTTCGTTGTGTGTGTTGCTGGAGCCATTCACTTGACTGTGTTGCTGGCGCCGTTCACTTCATTGTGTGTGTTGTTGGAGTCGTTCACTTCATTGTGTGTGTTGCTGGAGTCGTTCACACCATTGTGTGTGTTGCTGGAGCCGTTCACTTCATTGTGTGTGTTGCTGGAGCCGTTCACTTCATTGTGTGTGTTGCTGGAGCCGTTCACTTCATTGTGTGTTGTTGCTGGAGCCGTTCACTTCATTGTGTGTGTTGTTGGAGTCGTTCACTTCATTGTGTGTGTTGCTGGAGTCGTTCACACCATTGTGTGTGTTGCTGGAGCCGTTCACTTCATTGTGTGTTGTTGCTGGAGCCGTTCACTTCATTGTGTGTGTTGTTGGAGTCGTTCGCACTTCATTGTGTGTTGCCAGAGTCGTTCACTTCATTGTGTGTGTTGCTGGAGCCGTTCACTTCATTGTGTGTGTTGCTGGGCCGTTCACTTCATTGTGTGTGTGTTACTGGAGCCGTTCACTTCATTGTGTGTTGTTGCTGGAGCCGTTCTACTTCATTGTGTCATTGCTGGAGCCGTTCACTTTATTGTGTGTGTGTTGCTGGAGCTGTTCACTTCATTGTGTGTGTGCTGCTGGCTCCGTTCACTTCATTGTGTGTTGTTGCTGGAGCCGTTCACTTCATTGTGTGTGTTACTGGAGCCGTTCACTTTATTGTGTGTGTTGCTGGAGCCGTTCACTTCATTGTGTGTGCTGCTGGCTCCCGTTCACTTCATTGTGTGTGTTGCTGGAGCCGTTCACTTCATCGTGTTGTTGCTGGCTCCGATCACTTCATTGTGTGTGTTGCTGGAGCCGTTCACTTCATTGTGTGTGTTGCTGGCTCCGATCACTTCATTGTGTGTGTTGCTGGGCCGTTCACTTGTTGTGTGTGTGTGTTGCTGGAGCCGTTCACTTCATTGTGTGTGTTGCTGGAGCCGTTCACGCCATTGTGTGTGTTGCTGGAACTTTCCATCCATTGTGTGTGTTGCTGGAGCCGTTCACTTCATTGTGTGTGTTGCTGGAGCCGTTCACTTCATTGTGTGTTGTTGCTGGAGCCGTTCACTTCGTGTGTGTGTTGCTGGAGGCCATTCACTTCATTGTGTGTGTTGCTGGAGCCGTTCACTTCATTGTGTGTGTTGCTGGGCCGTTCACTTCATTGTGTGTGTGTTGCTGGAGCCGTTCACTTCATTGTGTGTGTTGCTGGAGCCGTTCACTTCATTGTGTGTTGTTGCTGGAGCCGTTCACTTCATATGTTAGTAAAACAGGTTGTCGTCCCTCACTTTCACTCCGTCCGTCTATATGATCAACTGCCCGGACACGTATACTGTATATTAACGATACCTGGTCTACAACACAACAAGGTCTCGTATTGGGTTCAGTAACCAGCCTTTAATGGGATTACTGTAAGGATATGTGAGGTCCTCACACCATGTTCGAGTTTGTCTGTTCACGGCTGTTCTTCGCCCCCCCCCCTCCTCTCCTCCCGTCCCCCCTCCCCCCTCCCTCCCCTCCCCTCCTCTCCTTCCTGCTAGTTGAGTTTTTGCTTGGCAGGTGATGTGTGAGAGGTGTGAGGAGAGGGAGGCCTGTGAGGATGAGAGGGACGACAGGTGTGAGGTGAGAGGAGGGCAGGTGTAGAGGGGAGGACAGGTGGACGGTGCAGGTAATTGGGTCAGCCAGGTCAGGGAACACACACACACGTCATGCAGGTAAACACTCATCCCCCCCTAATGTGTGCCCTCCCCCTCCTCCTCCACCTCTCCCCTCCTCCACAACTCCCCCCTCCTCCACAACTCCCCAGCCTCAAACCACCTCGCCTCTACCCCCCACCTCACCTCCCTCCACACCCCTCACCTCCCTCACACCCTCACCCCTCCCTCACACCCTCACCTCCCACTCACACCCTCACCTCCACCTCCACTCCACCCTCCACCTCCACCTCCCTCCCACCTCACCTCCCTCCACCCCTCACCCCTCCACTCTCACCCCACCCCCTCTACCTCCCACCTCCACTCCACACCCCTCTCCCCCTCACACCCTCACCTCCTCCCCACCCTCACCTCCCTCCACCCCCTCCCTTTCGCTTTCCCCCTCACCCCTCCTCCACCCCTCCCACCTCCCTCACCCCTCCCCTCCCTCACACCTCCCTCCACCTCCCTC